AATTCTTTTTTGACATTCTAAGGCTATATTTGGTTCATTAAAAAGAAAAAAGAAAATTTTGAAGAAAAACAAAATAAAAAATAAAATTAAGGCAAAGAAAACAATAGTACAACAAAGCTATTAAGAACAATAGTAATTTATTTCCCAAATATTAAATACACAAAAATTTTAACAATTTATATATATAATAGAAAATATAAATGATGTATTTGATACGCAAGATTATATAAGATAGGATAAAATGATATTATGAATAAAATTAAATTAAATAATATCATTCTATCTTGTGTTGGATGTATGCAAAGATTAGGATAAGATTATTTATTTATTGGTCAAAATTATCCTTCCTCAAAATTTAAAGAATTTAAATTATTGATAAAATTTTTAAGAGTATAATAGAACATGTATATTCAATCCCATAAATTAAAAATAATTATTTTTACTTTTGGAGAATTGAATTATCCTATACCAAAAAGATGATCAATTCTTCTTATAATCTGATCTTTTTTTATATATACAAACCAAATATAATATAAAATGATTATTATCCTATTTTATCCATTATCTTATACATCAAACATGACAAAAATTATAAGAGTTAAAAATTGCAAAACAAAAAAAATCACTATGAATATATGAGTCCTAAATGAACTTAGCTTTGAAGTAGATCTCACAACAAAATTGCCTTCCTTCCTGTTCGAATGAAAAATAGTTAGAAGCTAAAATGAGGAAACGGAGAGATTTAAGCTCCAAGTAACAAGCCTCGAAAATTTTTCTCTAACTTTGATTCGTTTTCCGCACTCCTTTTTGAAGAAAAGAAAGAAAAGCGTTGTTAGAGATTTTGCATTTTCCTTATTAAAATTATCCTCGCTTTTTTCCTTTCAACCAAACATCATACAACAAAACCTTTGAAATTTTGTTCTTTTCCCTCAAATTTTTCATCAATCAAACGTAGCATAAGTGATTTTGGCCTTGCACACTAAATATTCACTCTCTAAATCCAATATTAATCCCGATCTCGCAAAGTATCAACAAAGCCAATTTAATTGGATATGATCTGCATTAATCACCCACCGAAAATATATATATATATATATATGTAAGATTGTCCTCTTTTCATCATTATTGAAGGACGGATGAAATCAAAATTATATTATCCTCTCTTTTTATCATTTATTTATATTTGATCTAAATATAACGAATTAGAATATTTGACCATGAATTAATAAGAATGACTATGAGAATTGTGATAAAAAGAAAAACGTATCAATTCTATTGGTGATATCTTTAATGCTAAATTTTAAGATGCATATTTAATTTAAAATTAATTGATTAAAAATAAAAAAATGTGTATTATATTTATGTTCTTATGTGCACCTAATTTAATAGATATGAAATTCTTTTATAATTGATTATGTAGAGATTATCTTTTTGATATTTTGGTGGCGAGCTCATGATCATTACTAGAGAATAGTGAAAGTTTGAAAAATGATTAACTTAAAAAAGAAAAAGCAACTCTAGGAAGATTAACAAGCAAAAATAGATGTGATTCAAAGAGGCCTGATCTTAGCTAATCATTGATTGAATGCAAATAAATGGGGCCATCCCATTATTGTGTTTTGCATGTCTTATTATTGCCAAGAAACGTATTTTGAGGCTCTTTGCGGGTACTTTGTCCACCTCCACATCTTTTTACCCCTCTGCCTCTTACCCCGAAATCCGGGGAAAACTGCAAAGAGAGAAAGGACATCCCTCAACAACAGATCAGAGCATTTTCTTTCTTGTTTTTATTCCCCTCAAAAGCATGTCAGCTGTCACTTTTATTAATTACAAAAAAATCATCGTTATAAGTAGACTTAATTCGTATTTTTATACCGTCTTTAACATATATAATGATATAAATTATTAAAATATAAATATAATATAAATTATAAAATATATTTACATTTTAAACACGAATGTAATATATTTAATATACATGTTATATATGATACGATATAATTAATATATGTATAATTAATTCATTTAAATACGATATGAATAAACATGAATAATATGAATATACATATATAGATATAACTAACATGGATATATATGAATAAGTACGACTAACTCAAATATATATAAGAATACGATTATAATAATAAATAACTATAAACTAACAATCATTTACAACTTAATAAATTTGATATATTAATAATATAAAAAATTACTTACATATTAAAAAAAAAATTTAATACTCATTTCATATATATTTAATATATGTATATATTTTAATTTTAATTTATATTACATAATTATATTAATTTTTAGCATCAAATTCAAAATAATAAACTATTAAAGATTAAATAATAAAATAATAATACTAATATTAATATTTATATTGTATTTATATTATTAATATAAAAAATAATTTTATAATAATTATTAAATGAGTATCATTATTAAGTGTTTAAAATAATTTTATATGAAATTATATAGCTAATTAAGTATCATAATTAAAAGATTAAAAATTAAAATAATTTTTATATATTTATATTAAATTAAAATAAATATAACAAATATGTTAAACATATTATTCGTATCATGTCATGTATTTAGACGAGTCAACACATATATGATATGAATTATATCGCGTCGAAATTTGTATCAATATGAATAATCACGAAACACATTTTTTCAAAATATATATACTATATTTTTCATGTCGTTTTTATATCATATCACCGTATCGTGTCTAAAATTATCAGGTCAAGTTAGAAATTATTTTTGTATTATTATAAAATATTTAATGTAATATTTAAATTTTAAAAATTTTTAGTTTATTATCTGAATTATAAATTTATTAATTAAAATTATATTTATTTTTAATATTATTAATTTTAAATAATAATATATGATAGATAAATATCATTTTAAGTATAACAGTAATTAATAAATTTATAATCTATTTACTATATTAAATTTTTTAAAATTTAAATATTACATTAAAAATTTTATTATTATTTAAAAATTATTCATAATTAAAAAAAGAGAAATCATCTTTTTAATTTCTCTGCATACTAGACATTCCTACATAAGTTTTAGGTTAGCTTTCGAAAATAACTAATATTTGTGACTATTCTACTAATTAAAATTTAAATTTTAGTTTCAAAGTTGAAAGTTGAAAGTAGTTTAGATAAGAAAGTAGTTTAGATAAGAGAAAATAAGTTTTATGATAGTATACTCCTATAGAGGAACTAATAATGTTAGTTTTTAGTGTGTGATCTAAAATCATATGTGTATATATATATATATATATATGAAAATTGATAAATTTATGTCAATGTAAAATTAAAAAAATTTATATTTTTAATTATCAATTTTAATAAATTCAAGTGATGAGAGAAATAACAAAAATTAAAAAAAAAAAACAATTTAATCCTATCCTTAGATCTATTAAAATCAAGGACTAAAAAAGATATAAATTTTTTTAATTTTACACTTATATAAGCTAATTTCTATTTAACATTTAAATAGTGTTTTTCTAAGTAATTATTTACATGTAACATTTAAGGTTAAATTAAAATTCAAAATTAATTACAAGGATTAACGATATAAATGGTTTCTAAATTATAGTGAAATAATTAATTTGACATTTTAAATTTTAAAAATTTTTAATATAACACATAAATTATAAATTTATTAATTAATATCATATTTATAAAGTATTTTTTCATTACATGTTATCATTTGAACTGATCATATTAAAAATAAATATCATATTATTTAATAAATTTATAATTTAAATATCATATTAAAAAATTTTAAATTTAAGTATTATATTAAATAATTTACTACTTATTTCATCCCAAATTATTTTAATGTTGTTGACTTTCATGAATTTAAAAAAAAAAAAACTTTGATTTTAATATATTTAATATTAAAATTTAAATTTTTTATAAAGTTAAAATTTTATGATTTTTAATGTAAAAAAAATCATAAAAATAATTTTAAAATATGAAAATAAGTTTTAAATATTAAAAAAATTTACATAAATTTGAAACATTAAAAATATATAATAAAATAAAAAAAAGAAACGTAATATCAAGACCATTCATACATTACCTCCATTATCAATGTGACAATTTTATATTTATTTTAAATAAATAATTATCTTAATTGATTAAAATTTATTTTTTTTAACAAAAGAGTTTTGAATTTAAATTTTACTAACAATCATTTATTATGATTATTTCAAATACATAATTTATACTCATTTATATTAAATTATTAAATATAACATATTTTATTTTAATTTAAAAATTAAATTACTTATTTATCTCGAATTTTTTTCATCAAAAAATTTATATGTATTAGACAAAATAGCAAATATTGTAAAAAAAGTAAATTGAGCGGCGCATCACATCACATCACATCACCGAAAGGTAGTACGTCACAACAAAAGAATTTCTGCAAAACCAAAACCAGTCACTATCACCGATGATTTGAATTGGTGGACAAAATCAGACCCTAAACCCTATTTTCTGATATTAAAAGCACACTCTTACAATAGCTGTATTCTTCAAAATATTTTTCAAAGAAATAAAATTTTGGTTGATAAAAAAAAAAGTTAGAAAGAATAACAAACTAAAAAAACAAAGAAAAAAATTACAGCATATTGGCAATAACAATCTAATTCAAAACTAGTTAGGTACCTAAAACCTACTTGTAGGAGCAATCTATTCATCATCAGAGCAAAGATGAGAGTAATAAATAAAGCACAACCTCATTATGATTGATTATTTATACACCGCATGTAACTTTAAATCTTCATGAAATAAATAAATAAATTCTTAAAATTAAAAGTGAAAACTTTATGATCCAATTGAATAAAATACTAAACAATTCCCATCCACCTTTCCTCTTTACTCCCATTTTTTGTTTTAGCTCCTTCGCTTGCCACTCTCCCACTATAAATTGTGCAAAGAGAAGTGCCCAATTCCAACAAACCTCTTAGTTCCGTCTACTTTCTTTCTCTCTCTTTCTTCTTACATATTTCCATTGTGAAAATGAAAATGCCATATGATAATGTTGCAGTATTAATCTATGTTGTGATGGTTCTGGTTCTTATTGGGAAAGCACAAGTGTCCATGGCTGCTGTAACTTGCAATGCATTGCAGCTGAGCCCATGTGCAAGTGCTATCACATCCTCCACCCCTCCTTCACCCCTATGTTGCAGTAAATTAAAGGAGCAGAGACCTTGCCTTTGCAACTATGTCAAGGACCCTAATCTTCAAAAGCTTGTCAACTCTCCCAATGCCCGGAAGGTTGCTAGCATTTGTGGCTCCCCATTTCCCAACTGCTAGCTAAGTTCTTATTTCTATAATACTTGAAATGGTACCAAGAGAGTCAGCTTGCGCTTAGAGATCAGTAGATTAAAAATATGGGTGTGTGCAGAAACTGCATGCTTGTATAATATTGGTTTGAGTTTGTCTGTCTTGCTATTGCTTGTGCTCTCATTCATTTGTCTTGTACTACGTGTTCAGCTTTCTTATGAGACTTTTAAGTTAAGTACCATATTTTTCATGTAATTTCTATTAGTCTTATTTCCTTGTGTTATTTTCACCGCAACAAAATGAAAGATTAAACCAATCAATGAGCCAAGTCGTGAATAAGATTTTTAAAATCCGGGCGACATTATTATATTTTATTTACTTTCTAATTATAAAATATATTTTAACAGTGTTAAATGGCCTTTCATTCAATTATTATTGCTGACTCTTATTTTAACTAGTCCGTTTCAATCGGTCTTCATGTAATTTAACAAAAAAATTGGTCAAAAACTTGAACTTCCAACTTGGACAAAATTTAAGTTCAATTCTAGATATTAAAATTCATTACATATACAGAGAAGGGTAATTTACAGCAGGTGACCATTAGGCATGTGATGATGGAAGAAGAGGACAATCAACTCAACGGAAATGCGTCGTCAAGGAAGGGAAGCTTTTGGCAGCGAAAGTTACTAGTACTACCGGGACAATTTAACTCGGTTCATTGTCATGTTTGCCCCTTAAATAGCTACATGTTGCTGCTGCCTAGTGCGCCAACATGTATTCTATTGCTATGCTGCATCTTGAGTAGTGAAACGATTAGCTAAGACCTTAGGGAAGAAAAAAAAAAAAAAAAAACAGTTATCAAACCTTATGGTTTTATCATTTTATTAGAATCAAATCTTTATGCGTTTACTTTCATCTAATTGAATTATAAAACATCTATTTTTATCCATAAATCATTAAATATTTTCACTCAATTAAAAATAAATATTTGAAATTTTAACTAATTATAATAAAACAATAAAAACTTGAATATTTATTTAATTTTAATTCAAGATTTTTTATAGTTATGCCATTAATTAAAGACGATTATAAAATATAAAATATTAAACTCAAAACGTAATTAATTCATTCAACCACCTTTAAAAAATAAAGATACATCTTGAAATCAAATTCCACCACTTACGAACCGTTCTCATTATTCTCATATTGCTACCTACATTGTGATCAATCATCAATGTAAACGAGACCAAGTAAATTGCTAAATATTGATAATTAATAGCCATACTATCCTTTTTTAGAATACCATATTACCCTTATAAATATTTCTTTAAAACTACATAATTTATATTCATCCACAACTCATTCGGTCCATTAATTCTTGATCTATCCATGCCTTTCTTGACACAAATCACCAAAATTGTGGAAATCAAACAACCTAAAGCACAATTAGAGTTAGACCTTCCCAAATTCAGGAGGCTGCTGTGCATAACTAAAACTGGTCATTCCAAGGCCTTCATTCTGATGTTTCTCCCATCCACCAGTATCAGCTCTTGAGTGAGCCCAGTAATAGAAGATGGATCCCAGCAATGACATCAAAGTTAGAGCAGCTCCAGCAGCAAACACACCTTTCCTGAGGGTAGAACTGATAAGTGATCTCCGCCAAAGATCCCTCTGTACTTGGTGTGGTATGCATTCCGTGCTGATCCCGCCAGTAAACATGCCTCAGCTCCCAAAAAGCATATCCTGATTCATTGCTCAAATTTCATTACAGCAACAACAAAATGCATTTTCTATTGGAAACAAAAACATTCAGCTTCAAGATGATTTTAGCTAATTAAAACCAAAAATAATACATCTCGCTGGTCTACTGCCTTCAAAAATTTTTAGAATGGCAGCCTGATCTATTTCTTAAAGGAATAATTTTTTTTTCATAAAACTATCAGAGTTCAGAAATATTTTTGGTTTTGGTTAACACAAAAGAAACTATTATAGCCAGGCAAGCTTTAATTTTTCCCAACATAAATCCCTTAAGTCGTGTTTGGTGCATAGGATGACAGATTGAATAGGATAGGATGATAATCATTTTATATTATGTTTAGTTTGTATCTAAAGAAATGGATAAGATCATAAGGAGGATTAATCACCTTCTTGGTATAAGATGATTCAATCCTCTCACAGTGGAGAAGATTATTTTTAATCCATGAGATTGAACTTACATATCCTGTTATACCCTTAAAAATTACATCAATAATTTAAATTGTATAAACTGTAAGGAAGGATAATTTTGACCAATAAATAAATTATCCTATCATAATTCTTGCACACATCAAACATAAGATAAGATGACATTATTTAATCTAATCTTACTCATAATATTATCTTATTCTATTCTATCATAAGCTTGTGTACCAATAACATCCTTAGCATATATAACAAGTAATCATGCACTATTGTTGTACCAAAGAAAGAGGCATAATTCTTCTAAACTAAATGAAAACTTGTCAAATACTAATTGAATTGGATCATTTTACTTATTCCTAAACTACATGAAAACTTAAACCTGCAGTCCCTACTGTCTGTCCCCAACTTTAGTCGCAAGACTTGTTCTTTGGTCAAGTTTGTTAGATTTTCTCCGAACAAAATATTTACATGACTAGTTAAGAAGATTGAAAACGCAAATGAAAAGCAAATAAATAAAAATTTCTCTGCTAGATCAACAACAGAGAAGAACCATCAATTAAACATAATATAATAGTATAATGTTTTGCACTTTGAAAGTATTATTATTAGTTATTCAACATCTAGCATCTTTGTATAACCTGTTAGCCTCTAAGGTAAGCATTGGGTAAACTGCGGGCTCCTTGCATGTGCATAATTTGATTACATGACTGGGGAAAAAATCAGTAACCATTTCCATTTCACAAACCAGAACAGGGTACCAAGTACCAAGTAGTTAATCAGTTTCTAACTTGGAAAATTTACCTCCAAAACACGTCGGTTATTTTAAAAGTACTTGTCAGAATACCAGATAGATCTTGAAATGGACTCAAGGAAAGCAAAATGAGAGCAGCTAAGGAAGTGACACTAAATCAAAGTACTACAGTAGAGAAGAAACGAAAGTGAAATTGTTATTTAAATATATGAGGAAGATTTGGGTAAAATTACCAGGAGAAAACGAAGAAAAAGATGGCGCAAATGGTAGATGAAGTGCCCGTGACAAGGCCTTTACCAAAACAGAGACATCTAGTAACACCGTTAAGAGCAGTCTGGCTTAGAAGAAGCAGACCAAAAGCGGATAGTCCATACAGCGTCGAGGCGTCCGTAGTGTAGGCGCAGTAGGTCACTTCGTCGTACTGATCAGGCACCACCTTAGCCTTCACAAAACCAAACCCATAAAGCAAAAAACCAAGTCAAGTTAAAACAACACAAAATTACAGTTTAAAGTGTATGTGTGTGTGTGTGAGAGAGACAGAGAGAGAGAGAAAGAGAGACCAAAAAAAAAAAAAAAAGATTACGGAGCTACGGCGTCTTTCAGCTCCAACAGCGAAGTCGAAGGCTATAAGATGGAGGGAAGTGATGATGGCTAAAATGGGGACGGACATAGCCATTGTTATCAGCTTTTTGTTTTTCTTCGTGTTTGTTTTGGGGATTTTTGTTTGTCTAAATGATATCACTGCTTTTGAGTTAAAAAAAAAAAGGCGGGGGGGGGGGGGGGGGGGGCGCTAAGAATAAAAAAACTTTTTCTATTTTCTTTTTTTAAGTTTAACGCTGAATTTTTCTTTCTTTCAAAATGATCAAGAGATAATTATTAAAGGTTGTAATAGTAGATTAAAGGTGAAATTATACGATCAGTCTGTCCTTGTATTCTATCTTAAATTTAATTTTGTTGTGTAATTCTTATAAATGAAACTTTGACATTTGTTTAATTTTATAATTTTAATTTAATCATTAATTCTATTTAAATATATTTAAAGTTGAACTATTCACTCAAACTCAAAAATCTGTCTAAACAAAAAAATTAAACTACGGTAAAAGAATTTAAACCTAATTTTTAAATTTATTTAAATTTTAGATCAAACTTTAAACAAAAGAATTAAAATTTGAGCATGATCCAATCCAATTTGAATAAATTATATATAATTAAAATATTATAATTATATTAATATATATATATGTAAATTTTTATTTTTTATATTTTAGTTTTTAAAAAAGATTTTTTTTTATTTTTTATTATATAAATTAAATTTAATGAATGAATTTAAAATTTATTTTTTTAATTTAAATTAAATTAAAAAAACTTTTGAAACACAAAATATTAAATGAAGTCAAATTGTTCAAATAAATAAATTATTAATATTAAGCATAAATTCACCCAACTCTATCACAACTCTAATTCTGTTAAACTTTTTCTATTAAAAATACTATCATTAGCCCGATAACATGACTTGATTTTTACGAATGTAACGATTTCGTTGGTTAAAAATAATTGATCCTGACGAGAATTAGCACGTGATCATTGCATTTAATCCATATCAACTTTTCCAAAGTTTACTTTTTTTTTCAAAATTTAATTTATATTAATTTTATTTTTTTAATGAAATCAGAAAAAAAAAAAAAAAAAGGAACATTCAATCTATTAGAAAAATAAAAATATTCACAAAAAGTAAAATTTTAAAATTTTAAAATAATAAAATCTTTTTAACCTTTTTATTTAAATTTGCAAATAAAATTTTTAAATGAAAAAGCTATATATTTTATTATTTAATATTAAAATTAAATCAAAATCAATTTTTTTATACAAAAATCAGTTTAAAACTCAATGCTAAAACTAGCCGTACTTCCAAACTCAATGCTAAATTAGCATTAAATCTAATGCATGTTCCACGCTCAACCACTAAACAATTAAAAAAAGACGGTAGATAAATGATTCAGTGAGAAAAACAATCCATCCGGTCGTAAAGACAAATAGATCCTACATCATCACTAAAGATGACATTTGCATTACCAGTAGTAGTGAAACAAAACATAGAACAAAAGCTATTCACAGCATAGAATATAGCCAAACAACCAAAAACGCCAATTGCCTACTACTCATATCCTTTCATTAATATCATCCATTCTCTTTTTAACACCACACCGCTTTTACGGATTAAATTAATACACATTAGCATTACGACACATATCCCGGATTGCTCAAAGCCGGCAGTTATACAAACCACCATAACAAAATCCCCTTTATAATGTCAAGTAAAACATCAAATCCTACATTTTGATCATCAGGACAGAAAAAAGGCCTGTTTTTCTTTACTTATCCATAATCTTAAATAAAAACATAGAAAAAAAAAATCAAGAATGATGAAAACAACATACATGCTGATAGCAAGGGAAAACCACCTTCACAATGGCTCGAGCTCAGCTCTCCATCAGCTTCTAAGTCAAACTTTTATCCATTCACTTCCTCTAAAGCCTTACTGCAAAAGCTTCACTTCTTCACTTTCATCCCGAAGCATGCCATGTCAGACATTCCTTTCCCAGTTCTTTTATAAATTATTACAGTAGATAATCACCCCAAACTAAACTTTTGAAGTTGACCTCCAAAACTGAGGTGATATTTGACAAGTAATAATTGCACTTCCATTCAGGAATGATAGGACTACCACCATCAAAGAGATATATGAATATCACCTGCAGCAGAAAAATGTGAAATCTGGCTGATTGACCTGAAGAAGTCTCAACAAATTGTCAGCAGCCTGAAAGAGCTAGTTCGCCAAGTGACTATTGCTTGCTCCATTAGGCGTCCACAAGGAACCCTTGAACTTGTATGACGCAAGACCAAAAACAAGTAATGACATCTTTGGAACACCATCCATGTCATTGGGACATGTCAGATTCGGTGCCTGAGCACTTTGTCCACCTGAAATATGACAAGTTACATAAAAATAAAGGTAAGATTTCTTTGCCGATACATAGATGGTACCAAAATTTATGCAAGCACAAACTATTACTGATTAAGGGCAATTGTATAAAGCACCAGCTTATGCAATCAGTATTTTGGTAAATATTCAGCTTCAAAAAGTTGCTATAAAAGACATTTCTTCTATCTACAAAATTCTAAGAAATGAACTAAAAATAGGACTTTGTTGAAACAGAGCAAGATTTTCAGTATCTGCATCAAGTCACAGGGAAACTTTTGAGGAAAATTGTTGAAGAGAAGAAGATATGGCTCTTAAAACACTTAAAATTACTCTTCATATTTTACTAGTAGTTAGATACATATCATGAGAGACTGTCGAGCACCATTTGACAAAGTAATTCACAAAGCATGCTAGAGATGTAAAAGATTCACAATTACAAGCGAAAGCCAGAAAAGATCGCTCAACAAGAAAGCCTAGCATCATTCCCTAGCTCACACACATTGGAAATTGCATCATTTTACCTCCTATGGGTCTATGAAGATAATGGTAAGTCAGAAAGCAAGCATCTAGATCTTTTAACGTAGGTCCAGTAGGTATTCTGTAAATTGGATACCTACAAAAATTTCAGAATAACATATTAGTCGCATATGCAAACACAAGTTTGAAAATAAATGTTATGTCAAGAAAAACAAGAAAAATAGATAATTATACCATGCCACAGAAACCCAGCTGGAAGATAGTGAATCACAGCTTTTTAGTGTCTTCAGTTCAGGGAACCGGAAGGCCAGATCTGCAATCTGTTACCCCAGATTAAGTTTAGAATGTGATAAAACAATGTGAAAAACATTGACCAGACATTAAACGGCCTCCTGCTGTAGAAGAAAGAGAGGAAAAAACCACATTAACCTTATTGGCTAAAGGCTCTCGGCTGTAAGGAGGGTCTTGCTTAAAATACTCAAAAATCAGACAACTTCGAGAATTAACAGATTCACCCTCATCACTAGATAAGTCTTCTAGAAGTATCTGCTGATCTCCCATGGACAATCTATCCATCCTAAGAGACATCTCACTTGCCATGCAGTGATTTCTTTTGTCTCTCAAAACATTTGCTCCCCTTTCAGGTTCACAATCACTACTACCATCACTGCTTGAGTCCCTAAAGTCACTATCACTGTCCTCACCTGGTTGCCTATCATAAAGGGACTCAATAATTATCAAATAACACACAAAATAATTTTTATTATTTTAAATTTTGAAGCAAATATCAAACAATAACAATTGCTAACAAACTGCTAAGTCAGGAAAATAATGGATGGGTTCTGTGGGGGTGGGGGGAGGGGGAGGGAAATTGACAGCAAAATCATTTGCTTGGACTGAATAACAAGAGGAGGCAAAGAAAGAAAAGCACCCAGGTCATACAGCACAGGAAACTTGAGACGATGTGAGTATGAGAACAAAACTCTCACAATTATAGATTGTACTTAATTACATTCCAAGAGGAGAATCATGCTTTAACCGAATAGATTGAAAAGGAGTTATTCCCGTAAGCCCTCAACATGGGAAAATTACAATGATTCAACCATAAAGAACCATTCAGAAAACGAGGGACTAAATCAAAATTCACAGTAAGAATAAAATTGTACATTAAATTAATAATACCACATAGCATACAAAAGAGAATCAAAATCACAAAAATAAACAAATTAAGAGAAGCAAGGATTCAATCATTGGTGTCAAGGAGGTTATGCAAGCTTTTTACTTGTTCTCAGGGCTGCAACTAAATTGCGAAAAGAGTGAGATATATGCCACAGGAATGGGCAGGGAAGAGATCCAATCAATTCAACAAGCCACAGGATTCAAAGTAAACTTACTCCCCGTCAGATACTTAGGAGTCCCACTAGTCACTAGAAGACTCACTGCAAAAGATTGTGCTCCATTGCTTGAGAAGATCACAGCTATGATTAAAGGATGGACTAATAAGTACTTATCTTATGCTGGAAGACTACAGTTAATCCAGTCAGTACTCTTCAACTTACACAATTATTGGTGTAAACATTTTATATTGCCTAAGCATGTGTTAAAAAAGATCAATCAGCTCTGCTCTAGCTTCCTTTGGAAAGGCCAGGAGGGGACTGCCAGAGGAGCTAAAGTCAACTGGGAAGCCATTTGCCACCCTGAGTCTGAAGGAGGGTTGGGTATCAAAAACACACTAACTTGGAACAAGGCATGCATGATGAGGAATATTTGGTCTATTTTCTCAAAAGCAGGATCTATAAGGATAGCTTGGATTGAAGCCTATGTCTTGAAAGGCAGAAGTATATGGCAAGTTGAACCACAGCAGGGTAACAATTGGGGCCGGAGGAAACTACTTCGACTCCGAACTATTGCACGCCAATTCATAAAACAGGAAAATGGTATTGAGATGTGGCCTGTCCCTAGCAATGGCTATTCTATTGCAGCGGTTTGGAATGAGATAAGGTCTAAGCAATGAAAGGTTGAGTGGCACAGATTACTCTGGTTTCAGTATCATATCCCGAAGCACTCAATGATTGCATGGATGACTATACTAAATAGGCTTCCAACAAAAGATAGATTGAGGAATTGGAGAATGGAGGTGGATGAAAGATGCTGTCTATGTCAACATGGGAGGGAATCTAGAGACCACCTATTTTTTGGTTGTGGATATGCAAAATTAGTGTGGAGAAGGGTATTACAATCATGCAAGATTGACAGAGTAGTCGGGGAGTGGACTGAGGAATTGAAATGGGCAGTGACAAGGATAAAAGGCGAGGCACTGATATCAGTAGTATTGCGTATTGCTTGGAATGCTCATATCTACTATATATGGAGAGAAAGGAACCACAGATTATTCAAGAATAAAGAAGGAACAGAAGAACAAGTGTATGAGCTGATTAAGGAAGCTGTTAGGACTCGATTACATGGATTGCATTCGATTGCTGCTGACCCAGTCAACAAGATTTTATGTGATGCGTGGAATATAGATAAAGCTATATTGCATAATAGTTAGAATATGATTTGATTGTATATATGGAGTGTATGTACTGTAGCAATTTTATTGCTTTTTTGGATAAATAAAATACAACTTATCCAAAAAAAAAAAAAAAAAATACTAATATCCCACAAGTTTAAAGTGTACTCTGAATAAACTTCAATGGTAGCAATGTATAATTTACCTTGACTTGGCAGACAACTTCAGGGAATCGGCATATATTTGAATACCGGATAAATAAGGTACATAATACTGAACGACAGAATCACAGTCATTCAGAATTAATGGGACACCTGCTCCATATGCACTCCACTCTTTGAATGACTCCCATAAATCACCTAACACGAAATATGGCTGAAATTCCATATCACACGTCCGCCACCCTTTCATATTTGTCTGCCACACCCATTTTCGGATATCAATCACATTTTTTCCACAAATACTCAATCTTCCTAAATTACACCAAAATTTTATTTACACATTTTTCAAGTGATTTTCAGTTTCACTACTCAATAAACAGTATCAATTTAAAATATTCTTGCTTTTACTTCAAAAAAAAAAACCTTAAAAATCTATATCCAAAACTAATTTAAACCAAATAAATACAAAAACGATTCAACAATCCAAAAGTAATAATAAAAGAAAAAGCTTATCATTTTGAGATTGAATAACCTTAGAGAGATAAAGAATAGGCACGGAAGGCATGACCGAGTCCAAAAAGCGCTCCAAATTACTTAAAAGGAGAAACAATCGGTTCTGAAGCGGGAATTAAAACCGGATTAGTGTGTTCAGTTGAACCATCCCACTTCTCTGACTCACGGTTCACATGAGCGACCACGGCTTTATCCTTTGATTGACTCGCCGTAACATCGCCTTGAGCCTTCCATAGTTGATCGCTTTGCTGATTCTGGTTCGCTCTTCTCGTCTTGGCCGTATTGTAGAACCGATTTTCTCCAGGAACTCTCCTGAATTCCAATCCTGTACCCAACATAACTAAAAAATTACTTCCGATTTCTTTACTGTACTAAAAAATTGAAGTAGTTGATTTTCTTTGCGGATAAAAATAAACAAATTGGAGAAAAGTGCAATGGGAATCTAATTGGACAGGTGAAGGGCAAAATGGTCAATGTAAATGAAGAATAAAAAAAGGCAATTGAAAGTAAACAGGAAGATGGACCGAATCAATGGACGGGCGGAAGAAGAAGAAAACAATAAACAATTCTTTTTCCATTTTTTATTATTGTTTGTGATTTTTCAAATAAAGGAAATAATTTAATGAATATGCATATTTATTTTTGTGCAAAGACATATTTAGCCTTTGTTTCATTAATTAGTTCTTTGTGGATGGTTTGGCATGGATAGGTGGTGGAGTTAATGAAAAGCAGAATGGATGCCATTGGTGGAATTTGAAGTATTATTAAAGATTGGTGATTAAGAGGGGAAACAAGAGGTTAACACGTGTGCAAATTTTGGTGAAGCGGACACGTGCATGTTTGACTTTAGTGATGAGAGGGGCTGTCTTTTTCTTATCCCATTCGATAGTCTCGAGAAATTTTGAATACGAGTAGCAAATTTGCTCCAAAAAAAAAAAGAATCAAGTAATAGCAGTTGTAGTAAATTTCATCAACAAATTACGTCACGCGATTTTTTAATCATGAAGTAAACACGCCAATTAGACAAAGGAAATTTAGGGTCATACAACTGCACGTTTGACGTTGCCTGTTTCATCCCCGCTAGTTCTTTCTACTTGCTCATGGGTGGATTTGAATCTAGCTGCACCTTTAGTAAGATAAAATTAAATTTTAAAAATTTTAAGTACAATTTAAATGATTATCCAGTGAGATATATTTTATCAAATATAATATAAATTTTTTATTAGAATTTTAAGGGTTAGTGTAAATTGTTTTCTAACATAATAATCTCAACTTCTACTTTTAATTTTATTAAAATTCATTTAATAGTTCATCCAAATAGACTTTATATCTCTTGTTTTTGTGACATGTGGATATGATAAACAAAAAAACATTAAATAATTTTTTTGAATAAATAATACTGAATAATTAGTCTTTTAGTAATTGACAGAAAAATTTTCTTTTTAATAAAAAAAAGAAAAAATGGAGATTTTTTATTTGTTATTTATATTTTTAAAAATTAAAAAGGAAATTAAAAGAAATTTAAGGAAAGTAACCAAATTTATAAGAAAAAAAAGGAGTCAGTATAGGTAAGAAATCAGCATATTTGAATTTTTCAAAGGCTATTATTATATAATCTGATAAAATAAAGACATTATCAACAAAAAATAGATTTAATATAATAGTTTTTTTCAATTATCTTTAAAAGATGCTATTTATTAAGTTTTGATTTAAATTTTAACACATAATCTCTTATCATATACTCACAATATTATCTTCTTAATCAAAAGAGACAAACAAAAGATGTTAAATGTTTTTTTTTTATTATGTAAACAATTTTAAGCTATAAATGTCTTTTTGCACATGGCCATATTTTTTTTTATTTTATTATTACCTATGAAAAGTTAAAGAGAAATAGAATTCAAATCTTGCTTGACAAAAAATTAAAAACCTTTTTTTATTTTTTGAAAAAAAAAAGACCTTGGAATTTATCCTTCCTTCTACCACTAACAAACATAAGGTTAAATTTTAATTTGTTATCACATATTGTTAATTAATTAAGATAATGTAGTTAACTAGTTTTTGATATTTTTGAATCACTAACCTTAGTCATAAATTAATGATTTTAAAGAAATATCATAAGCAAATAAAAAAACATATATGTTTGACATATATTTATAAAGATATTTAAAAAATTAAAATTTGACACACTCATCGTATGAGTTTTTTTCTTTTTTTTCTTTAATAGTGTGATTGATTAAGGAGAATTTACAAATTTTATCTCGAAATCTTAATGGTGAATATTTTTTTTTAGCGTTTAGTTCAAAATAATATGTTATAGAAAAAAATATTAGATTCCCAAAAATACTCAAAGTCTTGAAATTATAAAATCATCTCTCTTTATGATATTTTAGGATTCCGAAAGAAAAAGTTAACTTATTTTCAAATTTAACCTAAAAAAAATTATTACATATCCGTTATCCTTTTAAAAAGTAAATCTGAAATTCAGTTTTAGTTTTTTTTTTAAGATTTTATCTTATTTTTAGTTCAATTTTAATATGAGATATTAAAGTGTTTCAAAGAAGAAATACCTTAATTGATTATCAATTGAGACATTTTCTTTGAACAAATACTTTATTTGATACTTTTTTCAGAATTTTTATAAAAGTATCAAATAAGGCACTTTTTTATTAAATGCCTTAATTAATTATCAATTAAGGTATTTTTTTTAACAAAAATTTTATTTGATACTTTTTTCAAAACGTTTGCAAAAAGTATCAAATAAGACCTCTCCTTAAAATAAATGTCTTATTTGATACTTTTTTCAATATATTTACAAAAGCAAAAAAGACATTCGGCTCTTTCAAACACCATAATTAAGTTTTTTTATATTTTAATACAGCAATTATGATTTGATGTCTAGTTAAATGAAATAACTGGATATATTTAATTAAAAAATTAAAATCTTTTTTTTTTTTGCTGCTAAAGGCATCATTTATCGTTTGAAGTTTTTTTTTTTTAAATAAAATGAAAAGGTTGCCAATAATTTATTAAAGAAATTATGATAATTATACATAAATTAATATACTAAGATTTCTCTCAATTAAACAAGTGAATCTAATTACAAAATACTTTAAAATTCAAACAAAACCTCATATATCAAACTTTTTCAAATATTATACTTTATCCCGGAATCTAAGATTTTAAAAACCAAACTCCTCTTAAAAAGAAAAGTTACATATATAAAACTTTTTTTTCCCAAAAGTATATTATTTTTGTAATTTTTTAAATGAAAATATGTTTTATAAAAAATTCAAAAAAATAGTAATTTTTAATTGTATATTTTTTAAAATTTTTTATTTTTTTCAATTGAAGTTAATGTTAGTTGACTCGTTACACCTAATTTTGTTAAAAACTATTTTGTACATTGGATAGGGGATAGGAATGAGGACAGTAGGATTCAAACTTTCACATTACATGTCTTCTTAAATCTTTTTAATTATTAGATTAAAATGCTGAAAATTAAAAACTTTAATAATAGTGTAGATAATTATAGAGAAATAGAGATTTTTATCTTTATTTTTTTAGATTTCTTACATTTATAGTTTTTTTTCACGTATTCAAATATTAAAAAATGGAAGATCACGATATCTATATTAAAAAAAAAAAAAAAAGTTGTCAATGAAATCTTGATTTAGTGATAAGGAAGAGATGTTAAAATCCTAAAGTTTAAAGCTAAAGTCTCATTATATGTTAGTTTGGTTGTTTAATTATATTTTAATTTGTTAATTATTTTTCAATTGATTATATAAATATAATACTTTAAATATGAGAAAAAAAAATTTTTTTTAAAAGTTATAAGATCATAATGACAAATTTCAACACAAAAGAAATAATTATAACTCATAGTGATTTTTTTTTATAAAATTTTAATGATAGAATTTTGGTCTTTAATTAGAAATCACCTCCAATTTATGAGACAAGTTCAATATATAAAAACCAAAGAAAATAATAAAAATGATTGTATACAATCAACAATTATGAAAGAAGCTTATTTTTTTTATTTACATGGTAAGAAATTTGATTTTTTTAAAATAAAATTTTTGTTTCGAATTTCATAAATTAAAAAAATAAACGTGAAAAACTTTATCTTCTTATAAAATTTAATTTAATTATATTTTAGATTAATTAAAATCTAAAATAACTATTAAACACTGAAAATTTTCAAAAAAAAAATTTTTTTTAAAAGAAACTATTATACTTATTTTGTACTTTTTCCATTAAAAGATTATAAGCCACCAATAGTAGAATGCAATAAACCACCAATAGTAGAATGCTTATCCTACTTTGGGTAACCAATAGTAGAATGCTTATCCTACTTTGTACCCACTCGTATCCAGCTATAAGCCCATCATGAGGGAGGAAAAAGATTTCTATTGACCAATTAATAGTTAATGGACTGAAAATGAAGTTGAACAAATGGACAATTCCATCCTTCTCAATTCATCAAATATTGAGCATAGCCAATAGCCATGGAATTTTAATTTCATGATCAATTGGTTTCCTAGGTACTATTTTCCCACCTACATCTGCATCATTGTGGACCACTCAATTGTAAAATATCAAAAGAAAGGAAAAACAAAAAAACCGTCTTACATTGCTGTACGTAATAATAATAATAATTAGTAATCTATCCTCATTTTGTTTCAGGTTAACACTAGATCTCAATTTTTTTCAATATAAACAAATAATGGATATTTATAAAATAATATTTAATGGTAACAAAACAATAAATTTATTCAATTGCAATTTCATTGATTTATAAATTAAAATTAAAAAATTAATTTTTAATGATTTAAATCAATAATTTGTACTTGTATTACATATTGAAATATAAACAAACTAAAATATAACAATTTTGAATTGATTCATGAATATTTATACTCTTAAATAGATATTTTACATTTAAAAATTCTATTTGGTATATAAAATTATAGATAAAATACAACGATTATTATTAGATCATAGATGCTTATCAATTATTTACAGCTAAAAGATAAAAAATGTCATTGAATTATAATTAAATAATTATTTAAGTCTTTAACATTTTATTATTATTAATTAAGTTCTTAATTTTTTATTTTGACTCAACTAAACTTTTAATTGGACAAAATCTAATCAATTCAAAAATTGAATTAAGTAATCCCCTAACTATAGTCAATTGAATTAATTCTTAAAAAGATCATAGAGAGAAAGTGGGGGGAGAAAATAAAGAAAAAAATAAAAACTTTTATTTTATTTTCGTATTTATTAATTATGCAACGTGACAAATTTTTATCTATTTTATTAATATCATATGAAATTTTTCTTAATAAAAAAAATTAACGGTGTTAATTTTCTTATGCAAATAAATGTTTAATTGGATGTAAATAAATATTAAAAAAATTGATTGATTGGAATAAAAAATAAGAGGTAATAAAACATAAGAGCTTGAATGAATTTTTAATTATAGTTCAGAAACTTGTTATATCATTCAGCCATTATTTATTTTACTTCTAAAATCTACATTTAAAATTTGACTTAAACATTTAATAAGCTGACAAGT